GAAAATCGCAACGCAAAATAAAAATCGCAACGAGAGAATCGCAATGCGAAATTAAAATCGCAACGCGATTATAGTTTCGCGTTGCGATTTTTGGTTTCGCGTTGCGATTTTGTCGTTGCGATTTTCATTTCGCGTTGCGATTCTCTCGTTGCGATTTTCGTTTCGCGTTGCGATTTTCATTCTCTCGTTGCGATTTTCATTTCAACCAAAAGACAAACAGTGTTACTAAAATATAGTTTCAAGAATAAACTATTTCTTCTTCTTATGCAAATTGAAACTTGAATGGATTGCATTACTTCAACCAAAAGACAAAACAAAGACAAATACTAACTTCAGAGTATTAAAAAATACACAGTTTAGCAGAATTGGCAGCAAACGAACAAATTTACTTTCAACCAAAAGAAAAAACAAAGACAAATACTAACTTCACAGTGTTAAAGAATACACAGTTTAGCAGAATTGGCAGCAACCGAACAAATTTACTTTCAACCAAAAGATAAAACAAAGACAAATACTAACTTCACAGTGTTAAAGAATACACAGTTTAGCCGAATTGGCAGCAACCGAATAAATTTACTTCAACCAAAAGACAAAACAAAAGACAAATACTAACTTCACAGTGTTAATAAACAGTTTAGCAGTATTGGCAGCAACCGAATAAATTTACTAAGCAATCTAAGTGAAATGGTTAATCTAAGTGAAATTACGAGTAAATTTATCATCAAGTTAAATATGGAAAATCTTAAACTTACCTCGTTGCATAGAGTATGAACCTCATTCTGCAACGATACTACCATCTCACGTAGAGCGGTAACCTCACCACGTAAAGTAGACACCTCCACACGCCATGCATCATCGTTATCGCGTAGAGTACCGATCTCCTCACGTAAGGCATTGACCTCATCACGTAACTCCCTTGACTCATCCCGTGGAGGTGGAGAACAGGGAGATAGAAGTCGTGGCATCTTTTCCAGTCGCCTATCATGAGGTGATGGTAGAGAATAGGCTCGATGATATGACGGGATAGGTGATGGCTCTCGTTGTAGAGGTGTATAGTCGGGTCGATCATGTGATGGCTCTGGGTGAGGTGATGGCTCTCGATGTGGAGGCTGCTCATCATTCGTGCCATCAAGAAAACGCTGACTAGCTTGCCACCAATCAGTGGCAAGCTCAGCCTCCGTGGGTGTCAGTCTCATTAATGGAGTGTTGGCCTCCTAAAAATATAAAAACTCAAACAAAGTTAAATGTCTACTATTAATAACTTGTTTATATATGATAGTATTTGTGTTAACTTACATTATTTATTGTTGCATATGGTATTAAGTCTTCCCAATCCAACAGACGTTTCCTCTTCCAGGAAATAGCCCTAGGAATATCATTTGAAGTTTTTAATGCATATGTCCGCATGCTGGGGAAAGCCTCGAATATCCAAATCTACAAACAATATAATAACAAACATTAGTAATTGTTAAATAATTAATTATAATTTTGAAAACATTATATAGAAATTCTTACCTTAAAGGCCCAAACAAAGTCTGACAAAGTGTATTTCGACCCATCGCCACGCAAACTTTTGAGGTCATCAAAGGCAGACGACAACTTAGTCCAGGTAGCTTTCCATATATACGAACCCCACGGAAACAGATTCCATGCATTTAGGTCCTCTACCAATAATATTAGCTCTGAGGAATAGGTTGTCTGGCCTCTCTGCCTAAAAAGCTGGCATACAAAAGTAGTAGAAGGCATACTCGGACAACATTGACGTCATTCATCCGAGTAAAACCATATTTCTTATTAAAAAATTTCTTCAGGTCGTCGACGTGTAAGTTCGGATTCTCTATTGACTCATCAGGAAAACCCTGGATAACCATGATGGGCGGGTGATATGACGAGTGTACTGGCCTACATCATCGTGTCCGAATCGTAGACCAGTGATTAAGCAGAACTCCTTCCGCCCAAAACAAGTATACGCCGGTGGAAAATGAAACCATATCTCTTCCTCACCACGTTGTATACTGTCGGGTAGATCGCTAGTCATGGTCTGAAGCCACAAATGGGTCAAATTAGCATCTCTACCCGGATGCTGTACTCTCAGCCATGGCCCGAAGCAGGTTTCCTCAAACAATTTTCTTTGTGCAGGTGAAAGCTTCGAAGCAATTGTAGTGGCTAGGCTAACTTTATTCCTTAATGTGAATGAAGCCGAAAAAATTTCTACAAAAACAATAAACATACCAAGTTAGATATACCAAAAACTACACTGTGAAGATATACCAAAAACAATAAACATAAATAGTAGTTTATTCTTGAAACTAAAATTTGCAACACTGTTTTTTCTTTTGATTGAAATGAAAATCGCAACGAGAGAATGAAAATCGCAACGCGAAATGAAAATCGCAACGAGAGAATCGCAACGCGAAATGAAAATCGCAACGCGAAATGAAAATCGCAATGCGATTTTGGTTTTGCCTTGCGATTCTCTCGTTGCGATTTTAATTCTCGAAACTATTCTTCTTCTGCATTACTTCAACCAAAAGACAAAACAAAGACAAATACTAACTTCACAAGGTTAAAAACTAAACAGTTTAGCAGTATTGGCAGCAATCGAATGAATTTAATAAGAAATCTAAGTGAAATGGTTAATCTATTATTGAAATTACCAGTAAACTTATCATCAATTTCAATATGAAAAACCTAAAATAATGCAAAAATTTCAAAATAAAAATAATTAAAAAAAACTAACCCTCGGAGGTTGATTTTCCATTTCTGAATGATTGTGGGGGATTTCTGACCGTGAATGGTTGTGAGGGATTTCGCCGGCGATGGGGACGAAAATATTCGGAGATGGGGACGGATTTCGCCGTAGAGAGTGAGAGATGGAGATGGGACTGAGTGTTGTGATTTTAGGTTTGAGGTTATGAGTTGCGATTACTGTGGACGGTTCAGTTTCCGATATATTAAGAAATTCGTGTTTGGAATTTGAAAAAAAAAATACGCGTTAATACGAATGGCGCTATGTAAATCGCATTGCGATAGTTAGATTTGCATTGCGATTTACGTATTCGCATTGCGATTTTCCTAATTCGCATTGCGATTTACGTATTCGCATTGCGAATTAGGAAAATCGCAACGCGAATTTGGGAAATCGCAATGCGATAGTCAGAATCGCGTTGCGAATCTGGAAACTGATTTGCGATACCGGATATCGCGTTGCGAATTATCGATCGCATTGCGATTTAGTTGGTTATTTTGGCAAATCCAAAAAAAGTTGGGTTAAAATCGTATATTATAAGGCATTTTTGATCACTAAAATTATTTTCTCTAAATTTAAATATACTTATCATTAAAAGTGGGACCTATCTCCAAACACCTTTTCAAACAATTGTTGAAAAGTGTGTAATATGATATAAAAGTAATAGTTGAAATATGCATAAATAAAGAAAATAACCCCAACTGACTTCATAAATTTACAAATATTAAGGCCCAGCAATTAATTGCAATTGCATAATGCTAAAATTATGTGATGGTGCAATCCCAGCAATCCTAACCTCTTTCATTTAGATTTCTAATTTTAGTTGGATGAATCCAATTAAACAGTCTTTTATGATTATAACCTTTAGCATAAGAAAATATTATTTTTTAGTAATTTTAGGTTCGAACAATTGTATTTGTAGTGTGTTATTAATTAATTAAAAAGTTCTCAACAAAACTACACTTTAATCCCACCAAATTATTGAAAAAAAAAATATCTATGACCCAAATTAAAAAAATAGTTTTACCCAAAAGAATATCGAGAACTTATTCATCAAATAATATAGTTTCATTTTGCTGAGAAAAGAAATAGTGAAAGCAATGCAACTATGAAGTATATGTTATAGAAAAAAAGTATAACTTGGTGTCTAAAATAATCCCCTCAATTACCAACTGTTCCAAAGGAGTCCATTTCGCTCATGATTAAGGATAAGAACATACTTAACTACCTGATGTAGACCATTCAACAAGTAATTAGTTGCATCGGATGTCAAACGTAATTAATTACCCTAACTTACACATTCTTTGCCTCCAAATCAAAACTTTGTTTGGTTGCACATGGAATGTTAAGTATTTCGAGGATTATTCCTAAAAAAAAGAGAATCCAAAGTTTAACATAGGCTTAGACCCATCTGATTATATCACAAAAAAAAAAGTCAACTGAATCATCGAATTGAATCATAAATCAAATGGACCTTTATTTAAAAAAAATTATAAACACTCTCTTAAAACGTTGAAAAAAAATGAAAATGATTGTAATTTTTACATATCAATTCTTATATCTTCTATTACTAATGGAGTGACCGTCGGTTTTGATATGTTGAGGAATGTCCCTATTGCTAAATCCAATGCCTATATTGCATTTGCAGGTAAAAGAATGATTGGACAAACATTGAATAAAACAATACCTCAAGGTTTACAGATGACTGAATATTTATTACATAATTTTTTTCCGATCTAATCATTTCACATAATTAATGAGATAATCAAATATATAAACTTTTGACATGTGCAACTCTTTTTTCATCTTTATTCATACTATGTAACTTTGAATTTCAACTATTAAATTTAAAACTGAATTTTTTTTTGTACTTCAGGTTTCAAGGCTTCACATTGATTAATCCGGACAGACTCCGTCGCACACCTGATTTTGGTGGGTTAGTCTCTCAACAGGGATTTTCTGCATACACAAAGACTCGAACTCAAAACCTTCCTTAAGCGATATCAAGCTGCATATACAAGGAGTCAAACTCGAAACCTTATTTAAACGATATTAAATTGCTTATCACTTGAACCAACACCTTTTGTAAAACTAGAATCTTAATATATGTAACGAAACACATTATGCTTTACTCCGGAGAGCGGTGCCAAGGGGTGAATATAAAGGTGTAAAGGTTAACAGGTATGCTCCATCTATTTCACATCTCTTATTTGCTGATGATAGTATTATCTTTGGGGAGGATACTTCCAGCATGAGAAGGCAAATAAAAGGGATCCTGATTGTTTATGGTGAGTGCTCGGGTCAAGTTGTTAATTTAGATAAGTCTGGAATTTTTTTCAGCTCGAATGTTATAGAGGAGAATCGAAGGGATGTTAAGCGCATATTAGGTGTTGAGAGTTCGGCGAATCCAGAGAAATACCTTGGGCTTCCGGCTATTGTAGGTAGGGCAAGGAAAGGAGCTTTTGCTAATTTAAAGGATAAATTCGGCAGTGGAATTCAGAGTTGGAACGTTCGAGTGCTATCTCAAGGGGGAAAAGAAGTCTTTATAAAATCTGTTCTCCAAGCCATCCCAATGTATGCAATAAACTGCTTTCTTTTGCCAGAGACCCTGTGTAAAGAGTTGGAAGGACTTACGGCCCGTTTTTGGTGGCAAAAAACTGAAGTCAAAAGAGGAATCCACTGGTGCTCTTGGGAGGAGTTGAGTAGATTGAAGGAGGATGGAGGTCTCGGTTTTCGAGACATGGGAAGTTTAATATTGCTTTGTTGGCCAAGCAAGGATGGAGGTTGTTAATGAATCCTGACTCATTGATTAGTCGCCTACTACGGGCGAAATATTTTCCAACTGGCAATTTTCCGACTTCAAGACTCGTTCATCCCCGTCATACATGTGGCGCAGCAACTGGAGTGCTTGGGGGTTGCTTGAGAAAGGCCTTCGATGGAGGGTAGGTAATGGGCATTCCATTTCGATCTGGAACGACTATTGGCTTCCGGGGAAAATAAACGCTCTTGTCAGCTCAATTAGACAAGACCCGATTGATAGGGTCTCAGATTTAATTGACGAAAACGAGAGAGTTTGGAAAGAAGATCTGATTCGCCAAAATTTTAACGTGGAGGAAGCTGATTTGATCTTAAGTATCCCAATTTCACGGTACTGGCAGGAAGATATGAGAGTCTGGAGTGGAGAACGATCAGGAGCTTTCAATGTACGTAGTGCTTATCGGTTGTTGTTGGATCATAGTGGTGTTTCGGTTGATGAAGCTACTGTTTTGAAAGCTATTTGGTAATGTGCATGTCAGCATAAGATCAAGTTACAATTATGGAAGTTCCTGCTCAACTACATACCAACGAACAACAATCTTTTTCAGAGACGCATCTCCAACAATCCTTACTGTGCACAATGCCAAACGGAGTTTGAAAATGCAGAGCATATTACAAGAGACTGTCCTATTGCACAACAGGTCTGACAATTAATGAATTTTAATTGGCATCCTAATCTTTCTAATGTTGGTTTTGGTGAGTGGTTATCATGCATGTTAAAGCAATATACGCAGTCGCAGCACCCATTAATATTGACAACTATATGGGCTTTATGGTTCGAAAGAAATAAACGAGTTCATCAAGGGAAGATATCGAGGAGTGAAGAGTTGAGTACCTTCATCAAAGCCCATTGCCAGGAGTTTCTAAAAGCGAATGCTGGTTTTCAAGTAACGGTGCAAGCTCCTCTTGTTCGTTGGCGACCGGCCATTGGCCCAGCTGTGAAAGTTAATTTCGATGCTAAATTCCTTCAAACCCAAAAAATTGCTTGGTCAGGGATTATAATCAAAGACAACGAAAGACAATTTTTAGGTGCATGTAGACGCATGAATTTAAACATCACCACTGCGTTTATGGCGGAGGCAAAGGCGGCCCTGCATGCGATGGAATTGGCGATGTACCTCGGTTTTAATAGAGTTGTTATAGAAGGAGATTCCAGATCAGTCATAAAAAAGTTAGATTCGAAGGAGATTGATCGTTCAGAAATAAGCACTTGGATATGGGAAGCAAAGAAGATGGCTAACCGGTTTCATGCATGTAACTACAAATTTTAGGCGCTTTTCGTTTGCTCTTTTTTGCTTTTGTTTTGTTTTGTTTATTCGTTCAAGGGACTGTTTGTTTGGCTTTGAATGAAATCATTCAGTGAATACTGAACCGTTCAGCATTCAGCGCGTTTGTTTCTCACTTCTGAATGATTCAGTGCTGACTGATTCAATAAAACAGTACAAAATGATTCAACAAAACAGTGCTGAATGATTCAATATCAAAGTATATTCTGAATGATTCAGAGTCATTATCAAACAACATATCACATTCAGAACTAATTCATACAGAACATCTGAATCATTCAACGCTTAATCATTCTTAAGTAAACAAACAACCCTAAATCTTCAGAGTTTGAACATCTGTGCCCCTCTTTAATGGGCACGGTTTTTTCTTTTCAGTTTAGTAATTAATAAAGCCAGATTCCACTGTCTATATATATTCATCTGGATTTTTTCCTTTCGGATTATAAAATTCAATTCGCTGAAATCATATGGATTTTTTTTTTAAATTATCCTAGTTAAAGCTCATATTCCTAGGATGAGTGAATGATTTTGTTCAGATTCTAAGTTGACTTTAGGCTTTTGATTTCATTTTTTTTCTATATCTACGTCGCACACTTATTCATGCATAATCTAAGCCCTATTGTTTCTACATTTGATATTCCAGCCCCTGAAAATGTTAAATAAAAAATATTGATGTTGAAGATTAACAATCCAGTCGCGCAATTAATGTATACCCAAACATACTTTTGCTGGTTGCCGTCTCTATTTCAAGGCTTTGCCTTGATTAATAAATACTCGAACTCAAGATTTTACTTAAAAAATATCAAGTTATTTACCACTTGAACCAACTCTTATTGGTGCAACCATAGTTTTTAATATTAAATATTTATAACTTTTAGGTTTGACAAAATTAAAAAAAAATAGAAAATTATGATATATGATATAAAGAAGAAAGTGTCGGCAAATGAAGTGTCCACATTTTGACCCCATTCCATTCCCATGATAAACGAAATTGCAGAGAGCGCTTAAAGGGTGAATAATGATGGATCAATGGACGAGAGTTTTCACATTAAGGTTTCTCTCTTCCCTTTCCACAAGGAACAAAGCATCTCATTGCTCTAAAGGAACGTCACATATTAGTATATGATTATTACTATTAAAATGTTTTTCATCTTTTTAATAAGAAAAGATTATAATGTTTAGTTGTATTTGTATCTCACATCACTCTTTATTTTTTTTATGAATTATAAGTGTTTTCATGTTTAATATGTTTAATTTAATTTTTTTATTAAGGGGAAAATATTACATTTCCAATGCAAGTGTTAGTGTTCAAAGACGCACAAGGTGAAACAATGTGAGCATTTTTAACCACTCAATCAATTAATGGATTCGATATTTTTTATTGTTTATAAAAATTTGTAAAATATATTATAGAAAATAATATTAATAAAAATATCTAAAATTAGTAATATAGTGAAAAAATTATAATTCATAAATGTAACCTACTGAAACACATAATTGATAATATTAACCTTTAATTAATTCACTCCCAATCAACATAAAATCATCGTATAACCTTAGAAATATCATAAACTCAATATTAATATTAAAATATTATTTAAATACATATAACACGAACTAAACGACCTAGATGATAAAGAATTGTTGTAATTCTTTAAAGTATTGGGTTCGAGTACCCTGAATGTTAGATAAATAAGCGTTCAATGTCAAAATGGTTGAGGGTATTCTTTAAACAGTTAATCCCTTATATTTACCCCGAATTAATAAAAAATACGTATAATACTATTTAAATATTTACTAATATTAAATAAAATGTCTAATAAATTTATACTCAAAGAATTAACTATTTAGTTAAAAACACAACTTAAAATTCACGCCAACAAAATCTGTAACATCCAAATCTTTTTATGTTTCAATCGGTAGGTATTTCTATCTAAAGTTGACTATTGATCCATTGTTCCAATTATATATTTGATTTAATAAATATACTTTGAATTTGTTGATTCTGATAATTAAATCATTTAAATTAAAGATTTGATGATCATTTCTGGAATTCAAAAAATTAGTACACTATTATTTGAAATCATAGTTATAAATCATGTTCAATAGAAAAGAGTCTACAACGCACGTCGCATACTGCAACGTGTTATTAAAGTGGCGTATCAAAACGTACCACAAGCAAATTTAACCTTATTAGGTAAATATAAAAAATATAAGGATGTATCTAAAATTAACCATTAATTAAAATTTAGTCTTATTTTTAATATAATTATATTTAAATTATTTTTTTATTAAAAATAATAATTAATTTAAGTAATTTAATTTGTTTAGAAATAGGATTTGTAATATTTTTTTTGAATTGTAGGGATGAAAGCAGAAACTCAAAGTTTACAACTGATATGTAGTCAAAGTTTCATTAGGCAGAAGCTGCTGCAAGTCTGCTGGTGGCTCCTTGAAAATATGAGTGTCAAAGTTGTGAGAGACAACAGAATTGACTAGTGTATCAGCAAGAGAGTTTCCTCTTCAAGAAATCCATTGGATAATAGTGACCTAAGCCTGCTTTCGAAGCTTCTCGATGGCACGAACCAAAGGAAGAGGGCTGGAATGAGCATCCGATTTGTTCAGAAGGTTAACGACTTCCATGGAATCAGATTGAATAACAAGAAATTCAAACCCATGGTCCCAAGCAATCACCGTCGGAGACTTCAACCCGTTGAAAAACTCGCCGGAAAGTATTATATTACAAATCTTATGCTGCTGTTTTCGTCGTCCGATTCAACCATAGACAACCTAAATTGGAGTACTTTTCTTTATTAGAAGACACAAAATATGTGATTTTCCATCCAAATTAAATGAGGTGAACCATTGAATCGACTTTATAAAAACACGAATACGTAGACTAATGGTTTACTAATAAAGCTAAACCTTTTCCTATGTACCAATTTATATTGTCGAAAGCACCAGAAGCAAAAGTGAGCTTTAGTCCTAAACTTTCTCGACGATTAGGGAACAAGTGTTGGACTGTCTCCGGAGTTCACATGAACACCTAGAAACAGGGCAATTGATGGCGATCCACAGACAAGAAGAATAAGCTTAGATTATCACGATAACCTTACATTATCATCTTGTATCCCATGTATCAATTAGTACATTCAATCAAAATTCATGTACAAATTTCATATTTGTTATTTTAGATATAGAAAAAAACTTTTAATCACTCAAAATATTGACTTCCCATATCAATAAGTCGAACAATTGATCTGCAGAGACAATAGCCTCTTGCGGTTATTATTTTCCCCCTATCTTCATACATTACACAGTAATGAACATCCTTTTTTTTTCTAAGCAAGAAAGTTAAATAAGAAACCATACTGTCGCGGACTTCTTTCTGGTGATCTCGGAATTGGGCTTCGACTTGAATAAAATGATACAATCTTACTTGATTTGCGTTTTACCAGAAACGTGTCGGGTTCGGGAGTCGGTTACAGTCAAGGAAGGATTAACACCCTTGTACTGCACTTTCGCTACCAATTAATTTGTCAGTTGTCTTAGCTGCGAAAATTAAAATTTAAAAAAACGATTCAAATTACTTACCTCTGATTGGTTGAAATTTCTCTTAAAAAGTCAAAAATATTAGACAAGAAATAATAAATAAGTATTAAATAAATCAAAGAAAAAAATAAAAATA